TTAGTAGCTAGAAGTGACACAGTAGGAAAAATACTTACATGATTAAGCTGAAAATTCCAAAGTTCTGATTCCACTTGCAGCACCTAAGCTTTACAGATTAACAAAATCATTTTACTGTTTTCTTGTGAATGTAGATCTATATGGATAAATACCCTCTCTAAAAGCCTGTAGAGTAAATCAGATCTGCATTCGTTGCCTTTGTTGTTTTTGGGGGGTTTTTTTATGCCCCTAATTGCCTTCTGACACATTTTATGTCCATATAGGAGTTGTAGCTCACTGCCATGGATTTCCTGGAGTCGCAGGTGCTACTTGTAGGTGCAAAACTTAATCACAAAGTACTGCTAAAGCAGTGGGTGAGCAGAAGATACCAGTCATGTTGACCTGAGTACAAGATGGCCGTGAGTAACAGCTTTTGCTAGAAGCAAACACGAATTGGTAGCAGGAGGCCATCCAGCTCTGCACGGCCTTCATGATGGTCGGCTCCCGCTGCCGCTGGGACACCTCGGCGGGGGAGGAGCGGTACTGGAGCCCGCTAGAAGCAGACACGAATTGGTAGCGGGAGGCCATCCAGCTCTGCACGGCCTTCCTGATGGTCGGCTCCCGCTGCCACGTACCTGCCTTACTGGTGCTCTGGGACACCTCGGCGGGGTAGGAGCGGTACTGGAGCCCTGGGCAGATAGATAGCGAGAGGAGTCTGAAGCAGTGGCACAGCAAAGGACTGCAAAACCAAACAAGATGCCGGACACGAATTGGTAGCGGGAGGCCATCCAGCTCTGCACGGCCTTCCTGATGGTCGGCTCCCGCTGCCACGTACCTGCCTTACTGGTGCTCTGGGACACCTCGGCGGGGTAGGAGCGGTACTGGAGCCCTGGGCAGATAGATAGCGAGAGGAGTCTGAAGCAGTGGCACAGCAAAGGACTGCAAAACCAAACAAGATGCCGGACTTTATTTACAAACATCTATTCCAATTTATGCTGCCTTATCTGCGCTTGCAATGATCTGCATAGCATTGAGTTCTTTGCCGAGTGTATACAATACAAATAATTATCACTCTATTAGTATCACTTCTTAAATTAATTTTGCTGGTTTTCATGATTGCGACACAATGATTTATGTTTCCCCCTTGCTCTTCACTAATTGCATAACTCCTCCTTGCCGAGTTCGTTTGTCTTAATCTGTCCACGTGTTTTCCTTGTTTCTTTTGTACATATTCTGTAACTTCATGGCCCTCAAACAAGAACATAAATACTTTGTCTGAAGAAGGAACTGGGTCCTGTAAGTCTGCCCATAAGTGTCAAGGTCTTCTCTAAACATTTCCTTCCCATTGCAGTGAAGCATGTGGATCATTTGATAGTTGAGCAGTGTTTGGGAGGGCAGAAATCTTACAATTGGCCCTTTTAAAGTACATTTACAAAAAAGACCCCAATTATAAGGATACATCAGTTCAAGCTGAGTAGTATATCATTTGTTTAATACAGTAAGAATATGATATGTGAGTTGCACAAGGGAGTCTTTTACCTTTCTTCAAAAGCGTGGTGAAGATAAAAATGCTCTGAAAAGAGTAGTTTTATAAAGTTAATTTGGACATGGTGTGAATGACCTGGAACTTCATGTAAAACTTAATCTGTATGCAATTATGAAAAAAAAATGGATAAGGTCAGCCAGATAAATTACACAATGCTGACCTTATTTTTAAAATTACTTACTTAAGGAGATGACAGATTATTTTGGTCTTTATGTAATAACCAAAATTCAGCTTTTTTGTTAACAATAGGAATGCTAAGTTTTTATTTTCCCAGAGGTACTTAAAGTTTTACATACTTACAAAAATAGGATAAGATCAAGTTATAGACAACTAAGCCAGGATTTTGTCATGTTTTTATTTTTGCCTCCCGACTTTAAATAGTTCCAACAGAGGATATATTTTGAAGTATGAACTAAAAGCCTAGAGTTCACATTGCTCTGTTTGGAGCTGAGAGAGGCTTGTACACTCCCATATATTTTTTTAAGTATACAAAACACATAACTTTTTTTATTGAAAATCAGTTTTACAAGGAAGAAGAAATGAAAAGACCATTCTTCAAGCAACACAACTTTAGCTTCCATTACATGCACCTTTTAGGAAAAATAGTCTTAATACACTCTTTAGGGCTTGGAGAAAACTTCGCTTATGTCACGGAATGATTAAAAATTGTTCCATATTTGTTTCTGAATAGCTCATCTTTTTTGGCAATTCCTTTCTCTTTCAGACTCCCAGATTGACATAAATTATTACTTGAATGAGTAATGGAATAACATTCTTTCTAGGGGAAGTGCTGTAGTTCTGCCTCCTGAATAAGTAGCAGCAATGCTACTTACTAATAATTAAAAATAGTTGTAGATTTGCACTTTTAGCAATGTTGTTGAAACAAGGATAAGAGTAGTACTGATATTAAAGACTTACTTCACTACATTGTACGTGCCAAAGAATAGGCAAAATACAGTTCTCTCTCCTGGTTTAATACATCTCTTTCTAGGGGGCCTTCAGTGAAATGTGGTTTTTCTTTTTTAGCTGCCTAGTATCTGAGCTACATTTATTTTTACTGTACAATTTAAGTTCATATATTGATGAAACTTCAGTCTCTCCTATGCTCGAAGGATTTAGAAAATACAAAGCTAACTTTCCTGGTTTTCGAGATTGCTTATTTTCTTTCTACTGACTTTTTTCCTGTATGGATTTCTCTTTTCTCTCTCTCTCTCTTTTTTTTTTTTTTTTTTTTTTAAAAAAAACTAATACATCAGGAGGCAGTGCTGATTGGAAAGACCAGGCCTACCACACAATGACATACAATGTCACTTTAGTGCTTTATATATAGAAATGACTCTGTTGATTTTGCTTTGCCATCACTCTTTGGGGCACTGGTGTGTGATTAAGCTTCATCTGCAGGCTGCTGGCACTTTTGGCCCCTCCTCTTCATCCCAGTCAGGGACTGCAGCCCAAGGAAATAAAAATGCAACCAACAGATCAAAGCAAAAGGGAAGGGGAAAAGGACAGAGGATTCTTGCCACAGCCAGGTAGTTGTAGCTACATAAGAGCAGAGCACTCGCTGATGAACAGCTCTGCTATCAGTGGAGAAGGAAGGTGTGCTATATTCCAGGTATGAACCCAAGGCTGAAAAGATTATAGAAATAGTGGTGCAAAATAAAATTATTTTTTTTTAAATTTATTTTCCCTTCCTCCTTTTTCATTGGACAAATAGCAAGATACAATTAGTTAAAAGTAGCTGAAAAAGTAGTTTCTTTTTTTTTCCTTTTTTTCTTTTTTTTCCAAATGGATTGAGTCCACCAGTATATCAGCCTTCTTGTATCAAGGCTGATGTGACTGACAGAAGTTTATAAACTTAGCTGTGAAGTAAGGCCTCATTATATAGTGCTTGCACTTGGTTTTATTACGCAAGCAAATGAAAATCATATGGATGAGCCTATAGAAATGATTAAAAGGTGCCTACCATCCTGTGATCTGAAAAGGAGGAGAAAGGAGGATTATTACGATTTATTAAAACAGTGGCCAGGTGGTGGTGAGCAGAGAACTGGATTTACTTGCAGTAGGCAATTGGGTGTGACGAACACAGAAACTAATAGTGTGCTTGTACACTTTCTGCAAAGGTCTAATCAACTGGAGTGAGAAAATCTTCTAGTTTAGATGTGAAACTTGGTATTAAAGGAATATGTAGAATAATAATCCACAGGAATGGGAGTGAAGCATATGCAGATTAGAAACGGAAAAAAAACCCCAGGTGGTAGGGAGGCATTCCTTTTGGCACAATCTACTGGAAAATAAAAGAACCTTAGACTTTTTCAAAAAGAAATAATTTTGAAGAAGAATTGGAGAAAGATTATTTTTGTATATTGAAAGTCTGCAGTAGTCAGTAGGCTCATAATTGAGAATGGATGAAGACCTCTCATTTTATGAGTGAGAAATACCAAGTATTGTCAAGACTGACAAGATTGGTTTTGCCTGAGATTAGCTTCCCAGGCACAGTGTGGAAGTCACATACTAGTAATAATGGTAACAAGACAGTCAATAGATTTCTTTACTAGTCTCTACATTAACAAAGCACAGACTTGATGAGCCGTTGATGATGTTTTAGGAGAGCTGCTTGAAGAAAATTACTGTATTTTTCACATGTGTAACTAACGGATTACCACTTTAAAAAGGGAGAGAGGGGACACTGGAGATTACATAAAATGCTGCTTATCTCCACCTACCTTTTAACAGAAAATACACAAGAGTAAACTTATTTTCATGAAATAGTAATGACAAGCTTTATGGATGGATTGATTCAATTTGGTGCACAGTCAGATGTCTAAAATTATATATATGTAATCCAGGTTCGTAACTTTAGAAGTGCAATGTATTTAGTTTTACTAAAAAATTGCTAGGGATTTGAAGAGCTTTAAGATTTACATATGGGACAAATCACTGATTTGGTCAACCAGAAATTTCAAAATGCATGCCTCAAACAGGAGGAGTGACTGGGAACTTG